GTGACCGGACTCTTCACCTCAGCACTTGCAGAGAAAGGATGGAAGGGGTGTTGTTGTTGTTGTTTTTTGGGGGGGGGAGGGGAGGGGAAGAGGGAACGAGCAGAAACAAACGAAGCACAAGTTCTTCGGCATAGCAAGACTGAAGGAAGAGGAGGAATGAAACACACGAAGCGATAGGATTCGCATGGATTCAGCATGAAATCAAGACGGTAAAAACAGAATTGAAAATCACAAGAATCCGATTCCAGGTGCCATCACAGTCGGTGACCTCGACCCCTAGAGGATCAACAGTTCACGCAGGGATCTTTCTTGATGTAACTGATCAGAATGACGACGGTCAGCTTCAGTCATGCCCATCCTACAGCAAGTATGCCCTAAAACAAATTCCTCCGACATCGTGCATGGGCAGCCCGTGTGCAAATACGCCGTCATATCAAGTACTGCATCTGTCCTGACGACCAATGCCGCAGGCTATCAATGGAGAAGAGAGAGTACAATCTGCAGGTTCACAGCTATGGCTGCTTGGCCCAAGGTCCTACCAGATACTGTGATTCTGGCAGTCCATCTTTATAATCTACAGTCCAGAACGAAGAATCCGGACAAGTGGGTCCTACCTCCACCTGGCTGTTGACAGCAGCTCACTTTTTTTCTTCTGTTCTTTTAAAAACATATCGTCATCAAACTGACCGACCCTAGGTAATTCAGTTACTCTACCATTTTACTTATCTGCTTCCGCTGGAGTTCGAACTCAGGTCTCTATTTCAACAGTTAAGAGGTGTTCCAACCGAGCTAGGGCAACTTGTCGTTTTATCTTTGGTTATTTCCTCAGCTACCTCGATTCTGCATACACCACAGGCTTGGGTGTGTGTTTGCTGTGGAACTCCGACAAGACGCTGACGGGCCTAGCTCAGCTAGCACACAGCCATGAACGGTTGAAATGCCGACCTGTGTTCGAATCCAGATTGAACATGATGAATGAAATCAAAACTCCGATAAGTCAACCGGGAGTTTCTACCGCTCAAGACAACTTTCGTGTTTTTTTCTTCTCTCGTTTCTCTTGGGGGTGGAGGGCAGGCTGGAAAGGGGGGGGGGGAGAAGGGTGGGTTTCGTGACCAAGAAATCTCCCCCCTTCCTTGGATTCCTGTTCTTTGTTCTCGACTGTAGATTTCACCAATCAACGGCCGGAAACGTAACAGGTAGAATCTGGGTAGGTGCAGCTTACCCCCTACGTGCCAGATGTCCACTATTCGAGGACGTAGTCATACTTCCGTGTTTTACTTCCCCCCCCCCACACACACACACCTTTTTCTAAGGAAAAGTCGAGGTCCTTCACGTATGTCATCATCGAACTGACCGGCCCCAGAAATTATATTATTCCAGTTATCTAGTTCTATCGGGATTCAAACTCAGGTCCACATTTCAGCAGGTCATGGTTGTAACTTGTACGAACTGAGGGCGCAGTCACACTAGCACTATCTTAAATGTATCTGACCACATTTACGGCCGATCATGTATGCATCTGGCCGCCATTCTATCTGACCTCATTTACGGCCTAATATCTGTTTGAAGATATATATATCATCATATATATATATAGGGTTCAGCCTCCTGATCAGTCGGTGAAACTCCGACGAAACAGTTTGTCACAGCCCCTCGTTTGTTGTCCTCTTCTCCCTCCCTCTCTGCCTACGGTTTACCCGGCACTTCTGTATATATTGTCACATGATATCAGAGCGCCTAAGCGAAAAAACCAAAAAAAAACAAAAAAATACTTCTGTATATATATATCGTCACAAATAGAACTGCCCGGTAAACCGTAGGCAGAGAGAGAGAAGAGGACAACAAACGAGGGGCTGTGACAAACTGTTTCGTCGGAGATTCACCGACTCATCAGGAGGCTGAACCCTAACAGTCTGCAGAATCCCCTCACTGATTACACTGTAAATGATAATCAGAACTGCCCGGTAAAACCGTAGGCAGAGAGAGAGAAGAGGACAACAAACGAGGGGCTGTGACAAACTGTTTCGTCGGAGTTTCACCGACT